TGAGATGGATTGATTCGGTGACTGGGGTAATCGGGATTGGTGTGTCAGAGGCAGTACGGTTGGCGCAGGATAGAGCAGGGTTTAGGGCTGTTGTGCACAGGGTCGCTATGAGTCGCAAACGACTCGACGGCACATAACAAACAACAACAACAACATGTGCCAGTAGCTTTCATATAGTGTTTCATAAGTGTTTTTCATATATTAATGTTTTTATTAGTATGTCTATATAACACTTCTATTATATTCAATCTACAGATAACAAAATTTGAGTCATGAAGGGCTTAAATTACAAAAACGTTTACTTATAGAAGGTCACTACAGAGTGACTATTCTAAAATGCTATTAAGATAACATGATTCCTCTTTCACAATCAGGGACATACTCAGAGAGATGCCCAAGAGAGGAAACAACATTTTCTTTTGTGCTTTATATGCCATGCAGAAAAATAGTATTGTTTCATGACCATAACCATTAGCATTCTTAGTGCATCCAAGAGGTCATTTTCTCATTACTATATGTTGTTGTTGTTATGTGCCATCGAGTCGCCTGCGACTCATAGCAACCCTATGTACAACAGCCCTAAACTCCGCTCTGTCCTGTGCCAATCGCACCGTCTCTGACATTCCCATCCCAATTATCCCAGTCACTGAATCAATCCACCTCATAAAGGGCCTTCCTCTCCTGCACTGTCCCTCCACCCTCCCAAGCATGATGTCCCTCTCTAAGGACCGGTCTCTCCTCACAACATGTCCAAAGTATGTTAGACGGAGCCTCAGAATCCTTGCCTCGAAGGAGCCACCTGGTTTAACCCTTTCCAGGACAAATCTGTTTGTTTTCCTAGCAGTCTATGGTATTCTCAATACTCTTCTCCAGCACCACAGCTCAAAGGCATCAATTCTCCTTCTATCCTCCCTGGTCATTGTCCAACTCTGATGCATAACAAGTGATTGGGAAGACCAAAGCCTGTATCAGACGCACCTTAAGTCTCCAGAGAGACACCATTGCTCTTCAGTACTTTGGAGAGGTCCCTAACAGCAGACTTTCCCATGGCAATGCGCCTTTTAATTTCCTGGCTGCTGGTGCCAAGACTGCTGACTATGGAGCCAAGCAAACTAAAGCTGTGTACAATCTCAATGTCTTCACCATCCATCCTGATGCTGCCAGTTGGTCCAGTGGTGATAAGCAATATTTATATTATATTAAATAAGCAAAATTACTATATGCTTACCGTAAAATGTTGTCCACTGAGGGAGAAGACAAAGAGGTGGTCAGGACAGAAAGCAGAAAGGCAGGGTCTGACATCTGGGAGAACTGCAGATCCTGTGCTATGCCTTTCTGGGTTTTTATTGAGCATCACCAGGAAGTAAACAAAAGAGGAAGTAAACAAAAACAAAGGATCATGGGGAACTAAATGACAAAGAGAAACCTTGTGTAAAGAAGGCCTAATCTTCTCTATTGTTTACCTTGTTTATCTCTGGAAGGAGGGATTTAGTAAATACAAACTAAAAATTATTGATCAGCCCCTGAGAGCAAGGTCGGCCTTAGTGTTTAACCTCTGTGAGGCCCAAGGTTGGCCTTGCTACTATAGGGAGAATTCTAGCTTGTATCTACGCCTCCC